CAACAGCCAATACCAGATCATTAGAGCATAAGAACAAAGCAAGTATATAATTTTTCCCTCAGTGTTTCCTAATGTGGAGTATAGAGACTACACTGTTACTTTGTTTATGTTCAGTTATGTGTGATGGACTTTGCTTCTATTATTATTTTCTGAACCAGTTTGTTATTCTTTTCTGGCATCTTCAGTATCTTGTATAATGTATGCAAGTATGATGTAAGCGTGCAGACTCTGAAGAAGCATTTTCTTTTTGTTGGCTCTAAAAATTCTTTAAGATAATGTCATCTGATGTTTCCTCAGTCTTATGAGCAATGATGACATAATAGGCAAATAAAAGCTATGCAGCCTCTATCCATGCCATTCATAATTTTATAGACTTGTGACCCTGTTGTCTGGATTATTTAATCTTTTCACATATAGAGACATTCCGGTATTTCTAACCACGTTTTTTTCCTGTTTGTCCTAACTTTTCTATTGGCACTGGATACTTTACAGTTGTTGGGAAGCTTATTACTCGCTACCGTCTAAACAAATAATTTATGATGCAGAAGTCTATACTGCAGGCTTTTCAGATTAAGTGAGATTATTAACTCCATACCAAATTACTTAATTTCAATGTTAAGTAGGGACATTGAAAGCCTGTTTTATTATCTCAATCTGAAAATATGACTGTTGTATTCTCAGTTATTCTTAGTCTAGCCATTTCATACTATATTTGAAAGGAGCCTTGTTTGTAATTTTATTAAGGTTTTCTGAGCAATTCAGTTTTCTAAACTACATCGTTTATAAGTGATTCATTTGTAAGAAATACCAGTATTGACTTTTATTTTGATTTGTCAAAGTAAAACATTAGTGAAGTGAAATTATTGAAGTAAAACAATAAATAATTAGATGGCAAAAGATGCGTTAAAAACATATGAATGAAGTGTAAGTAGTTCTAGAACAACAAAAATATTTCACCTGCAGATGTGTTTGAAATAATTCTATCAGAAATACATTTTCATTCTCGGGCAAATATTTAAAATTCACAGTAGTTTCCATTTTTGGTTGGAAACAAAATGGAATTTTGAGGGACAGAAAGCACAGCATGTTTAGAAAAGCCACTTTCCTGGTGTGGTTAGTGTACATAGCTCAAATCTGAGACACAGGTTCTGTTTAACTTATTCAGTCTAGATACTTGAACCTTGGTCTGCCTTACCCAGAATAACTAATAACCAAAACCTTTCAGTGGATTATAGAGTGCCTTACCTGTTTTGACCAGCTCTTTTTCCTGAACCTGAAAAAAACATTCCTGGTTCATGTTTGTTACAGCCAGCACATTTCAGCTAGCTGTTTTAAGTTCCACAAAATGCTTTATCAAAAAAAAGAGAAATTGTCACTGAAGCAGTTTTTCTTTTTCTCTCATTGCATGCATGAGACACTCCTCATGCATGCAAAGTTCTCTTTATATTTTCTCATTGGTCTAACAAATCACTGTGTGCTTTGTTTTTATTTTATTTTCAGTATTTAATAATCTCTCTGGTTTTTATTTTGGTCACAGGTTTCTCTTGGACTTCTACATGCTCGAGCCACTCACATCCTCTGGCCTCCACAACGTTGGCAGAAGCTAGAGCCAATGCTACCTCCGGAGCGCAAACCACTCCAGAGAGAGCAAGATTGATCTAAGTGTTCAGGTGGAAAAACACTGAAGTGAAGTTTAACTAGAAAGAGTTACAGTGGTTGTACCATCACCCCTAAAAGCTTTGCCAAGTGTGCTTTAACATCAGGTACCATACCAGCAAATACATGCAACATCTTCATGTTAAAATGCTACCTTACATGTAAAGTTTTTTGGGGGTTTTGTTTGTTTTGTTATTTGTTGTTTCTTAAAAATCCCAAGCAGTAGTGTATTGTGTGCTATTTTGGTTTGAAATAATTAGTTGTAGGAGGTTTGAATATTCAGTTTTTCTCTAGCAGTAAGATGCTTAACTAGCTATGACTGTGCTTCCCCGGATAAGAAGTTATTAAAACCTTCAATAAAATATTTTAATCTTTTACATGCAGCTTGTTTCTTTAGTAATCATAGAATTGTTTAGGTTGGAAAAGACCTTTAAGATCATCAAGTCCAACCATTAACCTAACCCTGCCATCCCACCACTAAACCATGTCCCTAAGCACCTCATCTACCCGTCTTTTAAATACCTCCAGGGATGGGCACTTGGCAGCCTGTTCCAATGGTTGACAACCCCTTCATTGAAAGAATCTTTCCTAATGTCTAACCTAAACCTGCCCTGGTGCAACTTGAGGCCATTTCCCCTTGCCCTATCACCCTTTACCAGGGAGAAGAGGCCAACCCCCACCTCACTACAGTCTCCTTTCAGGCAGTCATAGAGGGTGATAAGGTCTCCCATCAGCCTCCTTTTCTCCAGGCTACAACCCCAGTAACTGAGTGAAACCTTTATTATTATCATTGATTGCATAAGAAAAAAACCCTAAACACATAATATGCTCTGGATTGTCCTATAATTTCTAATATTGAAGAACCAGTACTTCCGTAGCAGAAAAGTTAATCATATATGTAATAATTTTTTTTCAAAAGGCTAATGATAATTTTTTCTTTTAATGCAGCTTGTGTTTATTATTAAACTGAGTGTATATTACTTACCTTTAATTTCTTTTTCAATAGTGTTCCATATAAACATTCCTCGTATAACTTGCTAAAGTAGATATTCAGTCAAAATATACAAATTATATTACATTATCTGAAGGCAATGTTTCATTCATTTCTCAAGTATAGTAAATCATTGTTAGTATTGATTGCCACATTTCTTTGAAACTATGTAATTAGATTATAAATACTATGCAATTAATACTACAAATATATAGTTAATAATATAAATACTCTGTGAATATGCAGTAAAGCTTCTGCACACATTATAAGTAAAAAGAACTTGAAAATGACACATTTTCAGCTGCAGATTAATATGAGCCAGCTTATTTTCATATTTATTGAATTTTACGTCAGATAGGATAGTACTTTAAATATTTAAGAAATCACACAAAAGATCTTTTAAACATTTCAGCTAAAATCATGCAATTATCAGAACTTCAGACAAGATGAAAATAAGTCTATAGCCCTTTGAAGACACACATCTGTATATCAGTTAAATGATAGCTTCAATCACTGTGAAAACTCTCTATTACTGTCTAACCTTCTTCTTAAATGCTCCAGCTCTGTAGACTCTCTGAACGCTCTACTGTCTGTGTGCCACAATATTTCTTTGTTCCAAAAAGCTGTTCCATAGGTCTCTGAACTTATCTTAGTTAAAACTAAAGCAGTTTGTTTGGTTGCTCTTTGCAGTAAATTCACGATTATTTTGATTGGCATAGGGGGATTGAAAACAGTAGTTTGCAATCTTTTTTATTTTTTTTTCAAATTAATTAAGGAAACTGAAATGAGTTCAAGAAATTTACTGCAGTCATAATTAATTTTGGTGACAAAGATACAAACACATCCATGAAAGGAGAAAGAAAAAGAAGCGGAACAAAACAAGATTAGATCAGCTTTGTTTCTCTCAGTTGTTCAGGTCCTCATTTTCCTTCTTTCTACTAGTTCGGTCCCTCCCTACTCTTTCTCTGGAGTGCCAACTGGGAAGAAAATCTTACATATATTGATAATCTGGAAAATTTGGTTGGCTCTTCTGATTCACTGGTACATATTCTGCAAAACCAGTGCCAGAAAGTTATCAACAAAACCAAAAGCATTTGTTCATCAGTTATTATCTTAATTATATTTTTCTACTCATGTTGTCTAAAGATACAGCCAAATGTGTCTGCATCAGCTACATTGCCAAAAAGATTTTTTGAAGCTACTTAGGACTGAAGACCTTATTTTCCAATGGAGAAGAAGGATCCAGAGATATGTGAGAATAAAATTACAGATGAGGTAGAACCAAGGGCTGCATGCATGCTCTTGGGGGGTGCCAGACCTTGCAGCCCAACAGAAGTAAGGCTGCTCAAGCTACATGTTGCCAGGTCCATCCAGCAGGATGGCCAAGCATGCGTACCCCTTGGGCACACATGCACGCACACTATGTTACATCCATATACATGTGGCTGGCCACACACATCAACACAGACAAACCCATGCGGTACTCACATAAGCACTGATGGCACCAGTGACCTCATCCTGTTCTTCTTGCTGGCTGATCAAGATGAAAATACATAAGTGGGAAATACATACAGATATATACAGCATGGATGCCTCCAACATTGGACACCCATTTTGCCTAGTATACAGAATCCTAGTCTCCCCATTTTCTGGCACCTGGACAAAAAAGCCCCCAGACACCCTCTGGTGGATGCCTTCTGTAACTGGGCTTAGACACCCAGTCCATCCAGGTCCATCCAGTAGCTGGACCTGGATCTTCACTCTCCCCATGCATGCGCATACACACACAAATGGCTGTCCCAATCAAACTGCAGTCTCAGCAGCTGGCTGGGCCCCCACGTTGCCTCTGTTAGCCAAAGCTATCCATGGTGTCTCCTCTAAGGACAGCCTCACCCCACCCTCCAGGCCATGTGCCCCACTTGCCAGCTGGTCCGACTTGGTGCTGGCCAGTGTCATTCACTGACAGCACACCGTCATCGCACCCCATACTGGCACCAAAGACATGCAGGCCTTCCACCCCTGGTCCACCCCAACCATTGGCACTCAGACCCTCGCCATACATGCACACAGCCCAAGGAACTCCACACCCAGGAAAATCACTAGAAAAGGAGTTTAATGAGAAGATGAGACAGACTGCAGTGATCAGGCTCAGGCGTTGACAGACCAGCACCTGTGTATGTGCGACTGGCTGCTTTCATACCCTTCTCTTTCTATTTTTCAACAACTGATTCTCCCTAGACCACCCTCATTTTCCTGACTTTGGTCCCCTAAACATCTCACAACAAGTCTTGCACAGTACTGAAATGCTTGTCTCTGTACCCCACAGCAAACCCCATACCCCTGAGCAGTGTCACCAGTCTGTGGGGCAACCCAGAGAGCCTCCCCACTGACTCCTGGTGTCAGCTGTCCCCTGCAGGGCTTGTGAAGGGACTCATGCCTCTGACTTTTAATGAGGTGTTCCCCCCCAACCACGTTTCTGTGTTCCTCGTGGCTGTGAAGATGTGACTTTTACAGTCTACTAGCTCCTGTAATAGTCACAGAGGAGCTAAGTCACAGTATTATTTGGCTTCCCCCAGCTGCCGTTGCTCCTCTGGGCTCCTTTGTCTCTGTGGAGACCAGCTCTTCATCACATAACCTTATACATGCTATGAAAGTTTAAATGTCCCAAGTATTCCACTGTGACATGCCTCAAGGTATATTTATTCATCTAGATTTGTATGCATATATTTATAAATACTTATGAATTTATGTGTATATATAGGATATACATGAAGGAATGATGGAATAGAGAATATGCCCATTAAGTCTGAAGATGTTGCAATGGTTGTAAAGATTGTTGTAATTTTGGAGAATGGTAGTAGACTGTAGTGATCTGAATTCAATAATGATGAGCAGAAAGTCTGTTGGAATAATTACCCATACACATGCTGGGTTAAGTTAAAAGAAAATTTGGAGATTATAGTGAATTGCAGTTGAGATGAATCAACAATATGCTGTTGTGAATAAGGCAAATACCACATTTTGTAAACAGCAGTACAGACTGGAAGCACAGGAAACAAAATTTCTGCTTCATTCATCTACAGTATGATTTTAGGCACCAGATTCAAAAAAAAAAAAAAAAAGATGGAAAACTGGAGTCTTTAGAGAGAAACAACAAAAATGAAGGGAAACCAGAAAAATATGACCTATGAGAAATGTTGGAAGAACTTGGGTTTATTGTTTAGTTTGGATAGTCTGAGGCACAGTCTTCAAAATCATGAAAGGTTGCTGTGAAGTGGAAGAGAATCATTGGTTCTCCAAGTTCATCATGTACAGGAGGAGAACTATCAGACTTACGATGCAACAATAAGACTTTTAGGTTAGACATGGAGAGAGAAACATTTGAATTTTAAAGTAATAAAACATTGGAACAGATTATTTTTCATAGCAAGATTTTAAATTTTTTTTTATTAGGGCTGTTTGTACTTTGAGACAGGAGGATGGATTAACTAGACCTTGAGATCCACATCAGCTATTTTATACATTCTCTGAATAGGTATTCTGTGATAAGGAAACTTGGTAGTGCTTTTGATGCTGGGTATGCAGGCAGTTGCATCAATATCTACATCCTTTAGACTTACAAGATTCATTATATGCAAGCCTAACAGTATTACAGTAGCCTCATGTACCACTTACCTGTAATAAGCATCTAAGGAACACGATTCCTGTAAAAGAAGCTGTTTTGCTACATATTGGCATCAGATTAATGTGCATGACATTTTACATCATCACATCGCTGAGTGAATGGAAATAGCTCAATGAAATCATAAGCATTTTGAGTAAGATAATGTAACAGATTATTCAGTATCCAGAGCATGAAGATCAGACCCATATTGCTGAAGCAGAAAGGACCAAGCAGCAGCAATCACCTATGACCACATATTTAAAGATGTTACTAATTTATTGTTATAATAATATATTTGATTTTCAACCTTCAGATGTGAAAGACAATGCCTGTTCTGGCAGAAATG